TCAGGATTATCACGGAATTAGGAGGATTCCAGATATTGCCCCTATGTCTGAGATCACCAGAGCAGTCTTCAGTTTTATGGCATATATAGTCAATTTCGATGTCTATAGACACATAAGTCACTTGACCTGTTATCGTGTATCGATTACTTTGTGTCCCCACCCCCGACATGTAATCTGTCGTAAACACGTCATAAAGTGCTTTATTAACGAGGGGTAGTGTTACCTAGAAATTCTTGTTTGCCGCGTCATATAACTATATACAGAGATGTCATTTTGTCTTATATGTTGATAAAAGTGTCCTTAATTCGCCTCCAGATTTAAGCCATTGTAGGCTGGTAATGAAATATAAAAGCTATCATTATCACTATTTCTATACCAGTTCACTCTCATTTTTTCGGTTAATATACAGATTTTCCGAATTTAATGCGAGATTTTTTATATCCATGTTATTTTTCATAGAACAGTGGTCATTTAGTAAAATATATACATAATTTTAACGGCGCGATCTCAGCTTTGAATTTCAAAACACATCCACAAAATACACCATTATGATTCACTTCATTAATCATTGAACATTAAGTCACAAAATATACCATTATTATTCTATTCGTAAATCATTGAACATTAAGTCACAAAATATACCATTGTTATTCACTTCGTAAATCATTGAACATTAAGTCACAAAATATACCATTATTATTCACTTCGTAAATCATTGAACATTAAGTCACAAAATATACCATTATTATTCACTTCGTAAATCATTGAACATTAAGTCACAAAATATACCATTATTATTCACTTCGTAAATCATTGAACATTAAGTCACAAAATATACCATTATTATTCACTTCGTAAATCATTGAACATTAAGTCACAAAATATACCATTATTATCCATTGCATAAGTAATTGAACATTAGGTAACAAAATATACCATTAATATTCACTTCATAAACCATTGAACATCACAGTCCCTTATGAAATGGAATTTGAAATATGCCATTTGTGTTACCGAGATATCTAAAAGTTGAAAGGTTAAACCGCATTATTTTCTATTCTATTTCATTTCAATATTCGCTATATAGTGCATTATGCGAGTGCTTGTCGGCATGAAAGACATCCCGATAACCCAGTCGTCGGACAAAGGACGAGCACGTATCAATATTGAGATAGTAATCAGACGCTGGTCAATCTGACCACAGATGACCATCATCGAAAACATGTACATTCAAGCCGGGAATAGCTGAACAGTCCACGTCATCAGGGTTACACCGAGATTTCTCGCACTTAAATAACGCCCTGCCACAACGCATCTGAACGTATTGACAGTATTTGTTTTTGTAGTCCTCTACTCCTCAGTTGAAAAATTCACCTTAATTCTTTGAAATATTAATGTCAAAATTAAAAAGGCGAGGCAGAGTATGGACTAGTGAGTATTTTGGTTTTGAAAACTACCATTTTTGAACGCCAGTTGTGAAACGTGTCGCAAATTAATCGCAGACAGTGCAATCCGCTACGAGTTTTGGAATAATTTTTGAAAAGTTAATCGTCATTTAAAAAATGAAAAATAATTCATTAAAAGAATAAGTTTGAAGTTAAACGTAGCGTTCATACCTACTATTAGGACGAAATCAGACAGAGATTTGTTTTCTTTAAGATAGAGCTAACTTTATAGTACAAACGTCGCGATTTAATTAGTCAATAAAGTACACGTTGATAGGATCGTGTAACGAGACCAAGGAAGTCACTCGCCCACTCTCTACCGTCATAAAACATGTCAGGCCTAGCTCATCAACTTGTACTGTTTACCAACGTCTGATTACCTGTCGCTGATTACAGGTAACATACCTGTGATTGTCTTACCCAGATAATAGCATGCTCACCTATGTGTCAGTTACGGTATCAAATACTACATGTATATTTATACATACACCACTGGTGGCCATTTTTTAGAACGTTTATGGAAATGATGAAAAACAAGTTTTTAAAAAAAATACGTTACACGTTGAAAAAAATTCATCCTTTCTACACAGTTGTCGCCTTGAAGACTTTCACCAACATTATTATAATATTTTTTATATCTTTCATTTTAGTCAGCATGTCATACCTCTACTTTCATCGAGCGTTACAAAACCATAACCTTCGCAATTACCTCCACATCCCAAATTGTCTCATCTTCTTTGTGAACTACAATCAGTTGACTGATAGTATTTAATTATTTTGATGAATGGTTTAGGGCGTTTGTTTTTGGCAGCAAACTAAAGTCCTGATATGAAGAAGGAAGTTACTTTTAACAGGATGTAAAAGAAAATGGTTTTGTGAGATAGTATCAACAAAACATATATGTTACATATTATTAGTATGCACATTGAGTGAAAATTACCTTCATCAAGTTAAAGTTACATACATATATCTGTTTTGTCGATCTTTATAAAGCACGACGGCTAATTCTGCTCTACAGGAGTCCGTTTCACAGCTTAGAATTTATATCTTAACAGCCTTAATGGACATGATAGATACTAATGGCACTGTTTAGTGGCGGAACTAATGCCTTAACTTGGTGGTCTTGAAGGCAATGATCAGCTTCATTTACGGTTTACATAGATTTGGTGCATGCTGTGTGACTTATCAGGGTATGAAAAAAAATCAACCTTTCATTAATTCTCACCTTATTCTTTTACAGAATAATAGATATAATCAAACACAGGCCCCTGGGTTTGTGTACTATCTTCAAATTCAATGTATTTGTAATGAACCACGCCTTTATTTTTACAAATGATATTGAAGCAGTCCCCATGCTGATATACCCACTGTTTACTCTTTAAAATTTCTATGAAACTTAAATAAAGAGAAGACAAGGAGCGCGATTCTGTAGTGATATTTTAAGAGCCAGCATTTACTTACATGGGATCTCCCGGCTGTGTTTTAATTTTACATACAAATCACCGAACTGCACGTCGTCCGCGTCTTGAGGGATCCTAAAATCAATCGATATCATTCATATGCAAGAAATATTTCCCGATATTTTTTATACTATTGATAAATTAGGCAGTTTATGTCAAACCGTCGTAAGCCCCCGGAAGTGAGCTCGGTTTTCAGGAGACCAGATGATGTTTTTCTTAATCAGAATATACCACCATCACTGAAAGACCTTCTCAGCATTATAGGTACACTTTATTCAGAATTCAGAATTAGGATCTTGTTAGTCTAAACGTTAGATGAACTTGAATTACAGTTAAAGCCAGACAGACACTGAATGGATGTTTGGCTCAGGCAACTGAATCTTAGACACAGCTTAATCAGTTTGTCGGGGATTCACGAATGTTCAACACAGGACTACGTCTGATGAAGGGAGAACAAATCTTCCTTCAATTTACTAAGACCAGACTCTACAAAGAAGCGGATTTTCTTCATTTTCGATGGATGTACACACTTGGTCGAGCTCAGCTCAACCAGACTTGCAAGCCTCAATCCACTTTTCGAAACAGTCCTTACAAGACACTAATTGGTGTCAATCTTAGATTTATAACTTGACGAGAACATGTCTCTCTAAAACGGCAGTGGAATATCATACTTAGAGACAAGGACTATTCTTCAATATCGGTAACCGAGTAAAAATGATGTTATCTAAAATTAGTGATCGCGACGAGTTTGAATTCGCGATTGACTCTCCTCACGCATTAACGTGAAAGTACATCCAACGCGAAATAGAAGTGATATCCAGTACCAAAAAGTTGGAAGTCCAGAAACTGCATTTTAAGATATATTTCCAGAGTTTATTTTAATCTTCCTCGAAAAGTTTGAAGGTCAGAAACTACATTTTAAGAGATACTTCCAGTTTTTTTTAATGTTCCTCGAAAAGTTTGAAGATTAGAAACTACATTTTATGAGATACTTCCAGATTTGTTTAATCTCTCTCGAGATGTAAACCGTCATTATCATCATCCACAATAAACCACACACTCAATTAACAGTTTGTTGTTACGAAACTATATTCTATTAAATGCTTCCAGAGAAATATATATATTTACAGAAACAGACCTTATTATATATCTCGAGTTATAAAACATCATTATCACCATCATCCACATTATACGTTTGTATACAGCGTTTCTCCTGTTTGTCAGTTTCCTTACACATGGAAGGGATTGTCATTTTAACATTTCTAAAGTCAATGACGAATTTATTCCCAAAAGTTCTCTATATGTAACTATTTAATTAATGCAAATTTATCTACGTTGATTCATGTAATAGGACTTCTCCTGATGTGAAAACATGTTAACAGTCATGGCTAAGTTACCTCCCTTCATATACACATTTACAGTATTTTTGTACACGGACATGTATACATGTGTAAGTTTACAGATCGTTTAAAGATATATAACATTTTTACCAGCTAAATCAATGCACATTCTACACGGGAATTAAAAACTTTTTATGAAAACTAAATATTTGATAATTATTTAAAGCAAAATATGAATGAAACGAATGAAATGTTCAATGAAGCCACTTTGAGTTCATGTAACAACCGTAATGATGTATGATATATGTAGCGGATTAGTCACCAACACAATGGAACTATACTCCACTGTATCAACTGAAACAGTTTTCGTGTCAGAAAATGTATCTCTGTGACAACTATTTGATTCCATCCCCTTTCTGTCGATTACACGATGATTTCGCGTCATTTAGTCCCGACTTATTTTCCGCCCTGCTTGTACGATACCCAATTCACTATTTAAGCTTTTATGAGGTTTGTGTCGAGTTAAACAACCATAGTATGACAAATGATAGATTGTTCTCAGATTATTGAAGAAGCCGTCCAAACCTGAAAAGAAGGTAAAACAAAACCGAATTACACAGCCACAAGTATACATGTCCAGGGTTCCGAATCACAATTATAATGGACATGAAGCCACAGCTTTGATAGCCAAATTCGTTTGTTATTTATTTAAAATGTTTTTTATGAATAACAGGTTCGAAAAGCCTGGTCGTAGAATGACGTTAAAGCTGATGCACAGTAGTGCTAAAAGGGGTTTGCATAAGTGTCCTTCTTCTTTTCTTTAGACTCTGTTTTGATAGACATAAATTTTATAACATGTTTTTATTGTTGAACGTGAGTATGACTGGTAAACCCTATGTGAACATTGGTACGATACAGCATCTTTGTTGGCATAGATCGACGGACTTGTAAATGTTTATATAACACTTTTATTGATATCATTCTGATTTCGGTTTTCAGTATCGTTCGTGTTTGTAAAGAAAAGATCGATCTAAGACCTGTTTTTTTCCGGCCGTAGTGTAAATTCTAGAAGGAGAAATGCATCAATGGTTTCCATCACACGTGATAGATACAAGTAGTAACCCATGTGCTACTCCTAACATATGGCAACTCACTATTTTCAGATCTGGAAGTGAAATGTCAATGGTAGACAAAGCAGATACATTGTTGAGGTTCCCACATGAATTTCTTTTTCATACGATATTTAATGAAACCAATATAAACAGTTTTGATTTTAGCGATCCAGTTTGTTCAAAAGTCGGCGTTTTAGTTTTAGTTTTAAGTCAGTCAGCCACTTGTTATCTGTTGGTTCCTCAAGGCATTGTTTCTATAGCAACTGTTTTATTTATAACCGTTCTCGGTGTTATATAGGTATGTAAATGACATTTTTATTTTTTTTATGTAAGTATTGTTGCATTTTACGATGGTTTCGTTCTTTTGCTAATCTCTTTATTGCTGTCGTCTGCCCTTTCACATCTCCATGGTAGTTGACGGTCACATTACCCCCAGGTGTAGCGGGGAGGAAATCTCTTGTTACATTTGAATAATATCGAGATTTTAAGATGTCCGCATGGGAAAACTCATGTTAATACAATTTGGAAATGATATCAAGATTTCCAAGCACACCTAATATGGTTTGTTTTGTTGTATTGGACTGCTGGTATAGCAGCAAACACGCTCAGTGTTTTCTAGTTATCATAGCCCGGGTCAGAGTTCAATATATCCCAGTGAACAAGTTATACATTGTTTTTATCTATTTTTCACTATGTTTGTTTGGTCTGACATAAGAATCCATCCTTATAAGCTTTGAATCAATGACAACACTGACTCCTCTTCGTGAGTCATTTAACTTGTTTATTTAAATACGTAACCAACGGGAACCGCTCGCCATTAAACTGCAGGATAAACAAGATATTTTAATTTTCTACACTAAATTAAAATTGTTAGCGTTTCATTTCTTGATAACGACATCCTGCTTTCCCTGCCATCCACTTCAACTTTATTTTGAGAACGTGGCATTAAGTAGACTTGATAAGACAAGGACGTTGGTATTCCTTGCGTAAACGTTGATCAATTACTCTAAATATAGATTATAAAACAGGAACATCAGCTATATATCAATTAAGAAGTTAACATGAGTTTTTAATTGTGTATGTTTTACATAATTCTTTGTAATGTACATAAAACACACTGATGGATAATACATTTTGAATATAGTTTTGATATAATAGATAAAGTATATGTCAGATAAAATGCAGCTGTTTGAGTTAACAGTAATGCTAAAGGCTTCAGTGTCGATTAAGAAAATTAGGATAGGTTGAAATAATTCTAAAAATATAATAGAACCTCAGCCTTCAATAAATCTATTTTCCTCAGTCGTCTCATAGGACTGACGAGTCCTAGAAGGCCGAAACAGTTGTAAGATGTATTTAAATTTATCATTTCGCTGTACTCTGTCTTCCTCTAAATTCATATAGAAAGGTGCTAATCACCTGCGTGTCTTTTGTACAATCATTGTACAGAAAGTGTTATTCACTTGTGTCTTTTATATAATCATTGTAAAGAAAGGTGCTAATCACCTGCGTGTCTTTTGTACAATCATTGTACAGAAAGTGTTAATCACCTGCGTGTCTTTTATATAATCATTGTAAAGAAAGGTGCTAATCACCTGCGTGTCTTTTGTACAATCATTGTAAAGAAAGTGTTATTCACTTGTCTTTTATATAATCATTGTAAAGAAAGGTGCTATTCACCTGCGTGTCTTTTGTACAATCATTGTACAGAAAGTGTTATTCACTTGTGTCTTTTATATAATCATTGTAAAGAAAGGTGCTATTCACCTGCGTGTCTTTTGTACAATCATTGTACAGAAAGTGTTATTCACCTGCGTGTCTTTTATATAATCATTGTAAAGAAAGGTGCTAATCACCTGCGTGTCTTTTGTACAATCATTGTAAAGAAAGTGTTATTCACCTGCGTGTCTTTTATATAATCATTGTAAAGAAAGGTGCTAATCACCTGCGTGTCTTTTGTACAATCACTGTAAAGAAAGTGTTATTCACTTGTGTCTTTTATATAATCATTGTAAAGAAAGGTGCTAATCACCTGCGTGTCTTTTGTACAATCATTGTACAGAAAGTGTTATTCACTTGTGTCTTTTATATAATCATTGTAAAGAAAGGTGCTAATCACCTGCGTGTCTTTTGTACAATCATTGTACAGAAAGTGTTATTCACTTGTGTCTTTTATATAATCATTGTAAAGAAAGGTGCTAATCACCTGCGTGTCTTTTGTACAATCATTTTATGTAAAACAGTATGAGGTGCATTTAGATCGAATTTTCCCACTCAATCCTTTTATGTGTATCGCCAGAACCTGTTATGTGGCGATATATGGTATGCATTCTCAATCTATAGGCCACGTTTAGTTATTGGTATACCAAATATAAAAAATTGACATATCTTCTAAATTGTTTTACATATGTTTTTTATGCCTCAGGGGAACACATGTTTATCGCACGTTCAAATATATTCTATGAATAACAACACATCCCTTTTGGCTGTGATACACGGAAGAGTGACTTTATATGATCTTTACAGAAACTGGATTTGTGTTATTAAATACTCATAGCTAACCGCAGAAAATGGTGCTTTCTTAGTCAACTGACATTCGCTGCTTATTTTTTTTCCATCAAGAGAAACACGGTGACGAACTCTGTATTTTTATAATTTCGCTTTGTGTCATGCTTCTTAATGGTAGACCTATTTTATACCTAATAGTGTTTGTAGTGTGCTTTTATTTTTATTTATGTTTTCGTCTTGTTCAAGATGTCTTCTATACCGAGAGGACTTCAAATCAACAGTATGACTTATACGGACAAAAAGGAAACGACGTCACAGGAACTTATACAAAGGGGAGTAACTGGATGTTCTTAATTTTGAACAGAAGGGAATACTATGTCAACAATGATAAAACATTTATAAAGGACAGAGTGGTGTACTCGTCTGACAACATCCAAAGTGACGTCAGAGAGCTCAATGAACGCCATGATCAACGTCTGTTCGCTGATAGTGTTAGCAAGGAAATGTGGCATTTCAAAGTGAGAGACGGAACACCGTCTATCAATGGAACCCCGAAAAAGTTCGACCTAGGAAAGTGGACAAATGGTAAGTACTTGTTGTAGGAGTGATTCTACAATATTGTTAACACATTGACAAATTTACTGCCACGACACCATACAGGGTTAATTAATCACATAATCAAAATGCTTCCATACACGGATGTGTTTGCAATGTAATGACATTTAGTTATAGTATAGTGTGATATCACATCTACATATAACACAGGTATTGTATGACGACCAAACCCTACACGCGTACTCTGTACTCGTAACGCAGATTTTCAAAAGATGCAAGTTGTTGAAATTATGAAGAAATTGTACGGTCGTAATAGTGATATTGAGAAATTGTTCTCATATAAAAACGTGACATTACTTACTTGGATTAACCAAGATCTACATGGCGGGTGTCGTCGATGAAGCAGAAGACGCTTACTCTTTCGGAACGCATGACTTTATTATTCTTTGTACTTTTTCAGGAGTTTTAATTTTACATGTTGGTATTTTCTTGTTGCTTTCTATCAGAATTACGTTGTGTTTATATTCTAGGACATCGTCAATATGTTAAATATCACTTTCTTGCTTTATTTGATCAGTTTCCGTTTCGTTCCAGAGCAAAATGTGGCAAATAGATACCTGCTGGAAAGGGAACTGGGCAAGGATAATTTTGGAAAGGTATACCTCGGTACCAACCTACTTACTGGAAAACAAGTGGCCGTCAAAGTGCACTACCAGAGTTATGCATATCTCCGACACGAGTACAACGTATACAAGGAAATCCAAGGAGGAGATGGTATTCCCAAGGTCATGTGGTATGGGAGGGAGGGAAAGTCTGACGTCATGGTAATGGAACTACTGGGAGCGAGCCTCCAGGATCGTTTTGTCACACATTCACGTAAATTCAGTCTGAAAATGGTTTTACTTCTGGCTGAGGCAATGATAAATAGATTGGAGTATATTCATTCTCATGGATTTATCTACCGTGACGTCAAGCCGGGACACTTTTTAACGGGCTTGGGAAATAAAGAAAACTCAATATATATTGTAGACTTTGGGTTATCCAAGAGGTTTCGGGATACAAACACGCAAGAGCACATTCCATACATTGCAAATAAGAGCTTCGTTGGGTCCTTGACTTATGCAAGTGTAAATTCACAGCTAGGAATTCAACAGAGTCGACGGGATGATATGGAATCTCTAGGATATGTCTTGGTATACTTCCTTCGGGGTACTCTGCCTTGGCTCGAGGCCAATTATAAAACCACGAAAGAGAAGTATGCAGAAACTCTTGACCAGAAGATGACGATTTCAAAGCAGTCTCTATGTTATGATTGCCCAGTGGAATTCTTCATATATATAAAGATTTGCCAATCTATAAAGTTTGCTGCTAAACCTGATTACGTTCGTTTAAGAAACCTTTTCAAAAATGTGTTTACCAGATACAATTTCACTTTAGATCAGAAGTTTGGTTGGAGAGATTCGACAACAGGGCGAGAAGAACGACACAGGGATACAACCACCGTTAATCCATTAGTTAAACGCTGGCTATATAGAAAATAGCACACAAACCTTATGGCTAACACCAAAAAACCAGGAAGGGACATCTTAACAAGAAGCTAGGAGACACCAAAACGGAAGCAGGACACACGTAATTCAAAGAAAATATTTGCCTATATAAGGAACCATTTCTACGTCTGATACTGTCTACACAAGAAGTGAAAGGGATAGCATGTTGATTTTTAAAAAATCAAAGTTACTATCTTATTGTGATACTGTTTACATAAGGAGTGATCTAGGTTACTATCTTATTGTGATACTGTTTACACAAGAAGTGATCTAGGTTACTATCTTATTGTGATACTGTTTACACAAGAAGTGGTCTAGGTTACTATCTTATTGTGATACTGTTTACACAAGAAGTGATCTAAGTTACTATCTTATTGTGATACTGTTTACATAAGAAGTGATCTAGGTTACTATCTTATTGTGATACTGTTTACATAAGAAGTGATCTAGGTTACTATCTTATTGTGATACTGTTTACACAAGAAGTGATCTAGGTTACTATCTTATTGTGATACTGTTTACACAAGAAGTGGTCTAGGTTACTGTCTTATTGTGATACTGTTTACACAAGAAGTGATCTAGGTTACTATCTTATTGTGATACTGTTTACACAAGAAGTGATCTAGGTTACTATCTTATTGTGATACTGTTTACACAAGAAGTGATCTAGGTTACTATCTTATTGTGATACTGTTTACACAAGAAGTGATCTAGGTTACTATCTTATTGTGATACTGTTTACATAAGAAGTGATCTAAGTTACTATCTTATTGTGATACTGTTTACACAAGAAGTGATCTAGGTTACTATCTTATTGTGATACTGTTTACACAAGAAGTGATCTAGGTTACTATCTTATCGTGATACTGTTTACATAAGAAGTGATCTAGGTTACTATCTTATTGTGATACTGTTTACACAAGAAGTGATCTAGGTTACTATCTTATTGTGATACTGTTTACATAAGAAGTGATCTAGGTTACTATCTTATTGTGATACTGTCTACACAAGAAGTGATCTAGGTTACTATCTTATTGTGATACTGTCTACACAAGAAGTGATCTAGGTTACTATCTTATTGTGATACTGTTTACACAAGAAGTGATCTAGGTTACTATCTTATTGTGATACTGTTTACATAAGAAGTGATCTAGGTTACTATCTTATTGTGATACTGTTTACATAAGAAGTGATCTAGGTTACTATCTTATTGTGATACTGTTTACACAAGAAGTGATCTAGGTTACTATCTTATTGTGATACTGTTTACACAAGAAGTGATCTAAGTTACTATCTTATTGTGATACTGTTTACATAAGAAGTGATCTAGGTTACTATCTTATTGTGATACTGTTTACATAAGAAGTGATCTAGGTTACTATCTTATTGTGATACTGTTTACACAAGAAGTGATCTAGGTTACTATCTTATTGTGATACTGTTTACACAAGAAGTGGTCTAGGTTACTATCTTATTGTGATACTGTTTACACAAGAAGTGATCTAGGTTACTATCTTATTGTGATACTGTTTACACAAGAAGTGATCTAGGTTACTATCTTATTGTGATACTGTTTACACAAGAAGTGATCTAGGTTACTATCTTATTGTGATACTGTTTACACAAGAAGTGATCTAGGTTACTATCTTATTGTGATACTGTTTACATAAGAAGTGATCTAAGTTACTATCTTATTGTGATACTGTTTACACAAGAAGTGATCTAGGTTACTATCTTATTGTGATACTGTTTACACAAGAAGTGATCTAGGTTACTATCTTATCGTGATACTGTTTACATAAGAAGTGATCTAGGTTACTATCTTATTGTGATACTGTTTACACAAGAAGTGATCTAGGTTACTATCTTATTGTGATACTGTTTACATAAGAAGTGATCTAGGTTACTATCTTATTGTGATACTGTCTACACAAGAAGTGATCTAGGTTACTATCTTATTGTGATACTGTCTACACAAGAAGTGATCTAGGTTACTATCTTATTGTGATACTGTTTACACAAGAAGTGATCTAGGTTACTATCTTATTGTGATACTGTTTACATAAGAAGTGATCTAGGTTACTATCTTATTGTGATACTGTTTACATAAGAAGTGATCTAGGTTACTATCTTATTGTGATACTGTTTACACAAGAAGTGATCTAGGTTACTATCTTATTGTGATACTGTTTACACAAGAAGTGATCTAAGTTACTATCTTATTGTGATACTGTTTACACAAGAAGTGATCTAGGTTACTATCTTATTGTGATACTGTTTACACAAGAAGTGATCTAGGTTACTATCTTATTGTGATACTGTTTACACAAGAAGTGATCTAGGTTACTATCTTATTGTGATACTGTCTACACAAGAAGTGATCTAGGTTACTATCTTATTGTGATACTGTTTACACAAGAAGTGATCTAGGTTACTATCTTATTGTGATACTGTTTACACAAGAAGTGATCTAGGTTACTATCTTATTGTGATACTGTTTACATAAGAAGTGGTAATAACAGTATGTGGATTTTAAAAAACTCCAAAGAGCCTCTTCTTACAACATTGTTTCTATAAGAACCTTTGATTTTCCACCCTGTACACCGCCATACCCCGTTCTATACTGAAAGAACGCCTTCGTTCTCTTGAAATGAGAGCTTTCTTTTCTAAGAATTATGAACGGCGATATAAATATATGATTGTGAACTATACTGAAGCGTATTTCTTAAAAAACATAATAAAATAAAAATTACGTCAGAATCAAAGATGAAATATATGAAGGATGAAATCATGATAATGATCGAGTTTCTGGTTGACAACATCTTCATCAAGTTTGGTAGAAAGATCTTTCAACAAACTACGGACATAAATATTGGAAATAACTGTATCCCTCTGTTGTCTGATTTGTTTTTGTTTTCATACATGCCTGAATTTATCGAAGAACTTATAAAACAGGTCACAAAGACCTTTCAAAAATAGTTTAATTTCACTTTTAGATACATTGATGACGTATTGTCTTTAACTAACCAAAGGTTTATTAACTACATCTATCGTATATGCCTTCCAGAGTTTAAAATCCTGAAGACACAATGTATTCTTCTACATCACTGTGAAGTTTCCATTTCTGGATAGCATCATCTCTGTATCCCCAACCATTGGTGTTTACATATTGCAGTTAACTCTAATAATAACCATTAACATCATTGACGTGTCCTAGAAGGACGAAACAGCTGTATGATGCAGTTTAATTCATTGTTTGGCTCTACTCTATCTAACTCTAAATTATGGGAAGGTGCTATTCATTTGTGTGTCTTTTGTACAATCCATAAAAATCGTCGATTTGTTGCTTGATTTATTACTTATATTTTAAAGGTTTTGTCGATACTCTCTGTTCTGTTTATCATTAGCTTAGTTATGTATCAGTGTTATACAGTAAATGCTGGTGACACATTGAGATTTTTTCTCAAAGATCTTTCATTTGATTTAAAACATGTACATGACAAAGTTAAAATACCATTTGTACACTTTCACATCATCATCATCATCATCATCATCATCATCATCATCATCATCATCATCATCATCATCATCATCATCATCAACCAAACATATAATGCAAACAAAGGAATAAACTGAAAAAAAGACATGCAAACATGTACTAAGGAAAACAGGATGCTAGTAAAAAAGAAAAAGAAGTAGAGACAGAGATATAGACAGAGAGAGAGACAGACAGACAGACAGACAGACAGAGAGAAAGACAAAGATAGAGAGAGACAGAGAGAAAGATATGCAGAGGGAGAGACATAGACACAGAGAGAGACAGAGAGAAAGATATGTAGAGGGAGAGACATAGACAGAGAGAGAGAGATACAGAGAGAAAGATATGCACAGGGAGAGACATAGACAGAGAGAGAGAGAGAGATACAGAGAGAAAGATATGCACAGGAAGAGACATAGACAGAGAGAAAGAGATACAGAGAGAGAGCTACATTTGGATTAAAACTCTTAAAACTGATGTGCAACCTGCTGAACTAGATAAACAAATCTGTTACTACATTGCTAATAATAGTCTACATTACATGTTCGTAAGAATCCAGGAATCTAGCCAGAAGCTTTACATCATTTGTGTATTTGTGTGTCGTTACATGTTCCTTACCTCTTGCAGACTACAACAAAATTTTTTTCTTTAGTTGACCATCATTTTATTTTTTACGCAGCTAAATTGTAATTTTGAACTAAAAAATACCTACCTGCTCTGTGGGGTTTGATTTCATTTTGCGTGATAGTGTCTTTCGAAAGGAAGGCGGAACTTAATCAACATGTTAGTTGGTTTTTTTTTCATAGAAACCCACAAACTTTCAACAAGTTGGCGAAATGAATTTAAGTGATAGAATGAACAATTGCTTTTTTACGGATTCATAAACCAGCAGATTAAATAAAACGTTTCTAATTGTAACGGGTTTTGTTGTATATAAGACAGGTAAGTACAGATTGGACAAACAAAATATCATTATAAGGCTCGATATGAGAAGGAACTGGACGATGGAGGTCAACCATTCCGGCTGCTGAGGAAAGTTGTGATGTTGACGCTTGGACGTCAAACACTCCAGCTACTGATAAAAGCTATGACGTTGACGCTTGGGAACTCGAGTAACGGAATTAAGTTATAACCATATCCATGTACTAGGAATTTACCTTGATAATTAGATTAAGTCATCACAGAATTTCAAATCTTTATATATTTTTTTTATACATTAAAATTACGATACCTTAAATAGAATTGTTAGTAAGGTGTATACTTCCTTCATGTACAACGCTTTCAGACATGCCTCATCTTATCATGGAAAAGATCATGTTCATCAAAGTACTTGGGCGAGAAAATTTCTTTAAAATGATATTGTTTTAATTTCCTCAAAAGCATAGGCAGACAGATAATAGATATATAGTAGGTTTAAATAACCATAGCCGGTGGGAAGTGGTACGACCGTTTGTCA